GTTATTACCTCACCAAAAAGTGATGTCTGCGAACTGAAATAGACCGGTCATACAGTGTTGGCAAAATAATTAGGGGCCACTTGTGGTGGCTCACACCTATAATCCCAGCTTTGGAAGGCCAAGGTGGGAGGATCACTCGAACCCAGAAGGTTGAGACCACCCTAGGCAGCATAGCGAGACCTCATCTCTACAAAAAAATTAAAAATTAGCCAGGTGTGATGGTACATGCCTGCAGTCTGAGCTACTCAAGAGGCTGAGGCAGGAGGATCACTTGAGTCTAAGAGGTTGAGGCTATAGTGAGCCATGATTATGCACTCCAGTTTGGGTGACAGAGTGAGACCCTGTCTCTTTCTCTCTCTCTCTCTCTCTCTCTCACACACACACACACACACATATACACAATTTTGAAACGGTCAGTATAACATTGCTGAATATTCCTGGGAAACAAAAGAATCAGCCTGGGATATATTTCCTAAAATGGTCACTTGAGACAAAGGATTGAGATGCTTTGAGTATCACAGAGTCACAAATGGTCTCACAACCTATCAGAAAACAACAGTCCAAAGCAGTACTGAAGAGACTCAGGTCCTGTAGCTCAATGAAAACCATACTGTCATGATTGGGAAATGTTTTTGCACAGCTGCTATATAGCCTTGAGTTTGTATCTACAAGAATATTAACCAATCCTATAGAAATGAAAAGAAACATGCTATTTGGCCTGGCATTTCAATACAGTTCATTATTTATTAAGTGTCTGTGATGTACATGACACTCTATTAGGTAAAACACAAAGCACTAAAATATCTCCAGTAGGCAGTTACTAGGATTAGGACTGCGCATTTAATTTGCTTTGTGGTTTCCATAATGTCCATCTATTTCCCAAGACTTTTTCCTCTTTTTATATTACCTCTTTTTCCCAGTTAGAATAGAGGTTGAAAATCAATCCCAGTGAATCTCATCTTTAGGTCATCTCTACACTTAACCAATTAGCCGAGTGTGGTGACACATGCCTTGGCACTTGGTGACCTTTTTTTTCTTCCAGTTCTGCTGACCTTCAGGAGCGCGGAGGTTTAGCTGCATGGCTACCCATGAAATGTTGTTGTATCACCTGCTAAGAGGATGTAACGACTGAGACAGGGCAACCTAATCATCATGACTTCCTTGGGGAAGGTCAAAAAAGAAATGATACCACTAGCCAGCTTTAATTACAGGAGCAAAACTAGGCATTTGATGTGAAAAGAAAAATCCCAGGTGAAGGACCTAAATGGATTTATGCTGTTTGAATGTGATCTCTTTCTAAAATGTAATTCCACTAATGGGATTATTGCTTCTCTAGTAAATTCTTTGGGTCAGATACCATCAAATTTTTCAAGTTGAGTAGGGTCACAACCAATCAGTGTTTACAAAAGTGGTCCATTAAATCAGAAGGAGGCATGATTTTAAAAACTATGTCAAGTAGTCTTGATCCTGGGAGCTGGCAAAGAAGGCAGCAACCACCATGGTGTGGATGTGTAAATGCTAAGATGCTACTTCTGTTAAGGTGTCCAGGTTCTTGGCATTTTGAACAAAGAATTGGACAAAATGCACAAAGAAAGGAACGAAAGCAACAAAAGCAGAGATTTATTAAAAACAAAAGTAGACTCCACAGACTGGGAGTGGCCCCAGCCTAGGGGCTCAAGAGCCCCTTCACTGAATTTTCTGGGGTTTAAATATCCTCTAGAGGTTTCCCATTAGTTACTTGGTGTACACCCTCTGTAAATGAAGTAGTATGCAATCAATCTGATTGGTTGGCTGAAGTGAAGTTACAAGTTTACACCCTATGCAAGCATCTGATTGGTTGTGGAAAGCAACCAGTCAGAGGCTGAAGTGAAGTTACAAAGTTACACGCCTATGCAAATGTCTGATTGGTTGCTTTTGGCAACCGATTGGTTGCTTTCTGCATCTGACTGGTTGCAAAAAGCAACCAATCAGAGATACTTTGAGTTTTCCACACAGAATCTGTTAAGGGGAGCAGAGAGTTGCAAAGGAAGTAAGGGAGTAGCCTCCAGTCCTTTTGTTACTTGGGTGTGGAAAGTTGGGATTTTCCTTTTAATTTAGTTCTAGGAAGTCAGCATGAATTGGCCTTAGATTCCCTGCCTCCAGACCTTATTCTCCTGCCTCACTTCTGCCTGAAGATAACTCTCCAAGTGCCTCCATCATCCCAGGTAGTATCTTGAGTACTTTCATTGAAGGCGGATTGCTCAAAAATAAGCCATTAGATCTAGTGGCAATCATTCATTCATTGTTTTCCCTAAGCTTTTTTTTGACCACTTACTTATGTACTAAGCATGATCTCAGAGATGGGGATGCAAAGGTGAACAAAATTGCACTGATCTCTGTCATGGAGCTTACATTCCAATGGAGTAGGTGGAAAGGAAACAACTAAATCAATGAAAATACAATTTCAGGTAGAGTGCAGTCCTATGAAGAAAAATAGAATAGGATAGAGGATTAAAAGGTGGAGTAGTGGAGGCAGGGTGTCTTAGGATGGCCGGGGAAGTCCCTCTAAGAAGGTCGAACGTGAACAGAAGCCTGAATTAAGCAAAGGTGAGCCACCCGGAGATATGGAAGAGTAAGACAGGCCAGGAGGTTCCAGGAGGACACAGGTGGGAGCAAACTTGGTTTAAAGGAAAATGAGGACATGAATGTGATTAGAATAGAATGAGCAAAGGGAGCCTGGCTGAGGAGGCTGGCAGCGAAGCAGTAGTCGATCTTGCACTGGTCTTGCAGGCCACAGTGAGTGGAGATTCTATGCAAGAAAGTGGGGAGCCATGGGATGGGGACACCTAGAGGTTCCATTCATGAATCCAGGGCATTTACTTCTCCTTATGAAGGAATGGAAGGTTCTACCACCACTTCTACAAGATTCTACAGCCAGGGGTGGTGGCTCATACTTATAATCCCAGTGCTTTGAGAGGCTGAGGCAGACAGATTGCTTGAGGTTAGGAGTTCAAGACCAGGCTGGCCAATATGGCAAAACCGTGTCTCTACCAAAAATACAAAAAATAGCCAGATGTGGTGGCAGCGCACCTGTAATCCCAGCTACTCGGGAGGCTAAGGCAGGAGAATCGCTTGAACCTGGGAGGCAGAGGTTGCAGTGAGCTGTGATCTTGCCCCTGCGCTATAGCCTGGATGACAGAGCGAGACAGTGAGGCTGTCTCAAAACAAACAAACAAACAAACAAACAAAAACCAAAGAATTCTACACACAGCAGCTAGCAACTTCTGGATGTCCAAGGGCAAAGGCCATTGTAATAAATCAAGGAATAAAAAGTGTTATAAGTCATGACCTCATTCTCAATGGAATTACCTGTTGAGGAAATAATAATAAATATATTTGATTTCATAAAACAAAGCACTCTCAGGAGGCCTTTTGTGGCCATATTGGTGTAGCTACCACTTAAAAGTCGCCATAATGCGTGACACCCCCTCCTAACCCCTACACATAAACATAGATTCAGAAAAGGACTGGACAGGGAGACATTCCTTTACACATGGGTGCTGGGGTTTAGAATTGACACCCTCACTGTTAATAATATCTCCTAATTCCTCATAAAATGGAATTTTTAGAATAGATTTTATCATAAATCTAAATAATTACTTATAATAAAATGTAGACAGAATAGACAAAAAAATAATTACTTGTAATAAAAGGTAGAGCAGCTAGAAACACAAGCCTGTGGCTTTTATTTCATGGTTTGAAAAGTTCTATGAGACAACATTAATTAGTAACATTCCTCAATGGACATGCAACATAGTTTATTATAAACGGTAATTTAGAAATATGCTGTGAACATGTTAAGTTCCAAGCAACCCATCTAAAAGCAAAAGTGGAGCTCACTATTCATGTACATTCTCATCGGAGCTCTGAGTACAGCTTATATTTCAGCCTAAATTATCTTTTTTAGCCTTTCATATCGAGGCCATTTTAGCAGCATTTTAGAATAGATTAGTAAAAGGGAAAGCAGACATTAAAATATATAAAGTAAGCGTTTTAGGCAAGAATCCAGATTATATAATTCTATATGATCAGAGAGATAATCACCTATTTTCTGAGAGGACTCATGCCTTCAGATAAAATAACCCTGGGTTACATGTCTTCCTACCCCCACCCTCTTTGGCGTGCTTTAATTAGAAAGATACTAGCATAGATTAAAGTCTTAGCCATACTCAATTCTTCCCTTGACCTGAAGAAAACCACAGCCATAGAGAATCTGCTGTGATAGAAAACATTGTCAGTTTCATCCAAGTACACCAGCAAGCTTAAATAGAGCACCCAGGAGGTGGACTGTTTATGCAAGAGAAAAAAAGTGACCCTTACGTATTGATGATTTGACTCACATAATGAATGGTCTTACCTTCTGCATCAGAGCCTTGAAGTGTCAAGCACATGATTTCCATGCAGACAAGTAACATTTCCGTGCAGGAGAAGTCTAAGATAATCTTCCAGATGTAAACCAACGACCTGCTGTCTGGGTCTTTGCGTTTGTCAGTTGTGTATTTATGTATGGGACACAGTAACTGTGGAAGCAAACCAAATTCAAGCAAACTAAAAAGCAAATCCTTCCATAGTACTTAAAGTCCAATGAGATAAAATGATGGATCAAAGGATTATGTTTGCTTAATGAAGCATTCTGGGTTTTGAGTCTCATTGGTCTCAGTTTTTCAACAGGATGTTGTGCTCAAGGGCTGGAATTTGGAAATTCCACAACAGCTATATCATCAGTCAGCTCTGATTAATTTAATTGAAATAGGACTCTTGATGAAGCCCTGCTGTGCTTATAATTAAAAATTTAGAAAAGGGTAGGGAGAAGTGTAGATGATGTGGGGGTTTCTTTTTCCTGTGAAATTAGCTGAATGTATTAATTCAGAAGGTAGGCAGTAGCCTCTGATTGTATGCTTTAGTAATCTGAACCATCTGCCTCTATATACTAAGGAGTTCACCACTTTAATCCAGCTTACGGCCGACAAACCACTCTTCTCTATCAGTATGCCCTTGAATAGATGAGGCTATACAAAGTCCTTTGCTCTTAAATGTATTGCTGTCACTGAGAATATTTGGAGGTTTTCTCTTGGGTTCGTTTGGATATTTTTTTTTCAGCTTTTGTCTGAATTTTGGTTTTATTTTTCTGGGACAGAGAAAATGGCCTTCCTTATGAAAAGTATGATAAGTAACCAGGTAAAGAATTTAGGATTTGGTGGTGGGTCTGAAGAAAATAAAGAAGAAGGAGGTACATCTGATCCTGCAGCAGCTCATGGGATGACTAGAGAGGAGTATGAGGAATATCAAAAGCAAATGATTGAGGAGAAGTGAGTACACTGCTACTTCAAATTTCCCTTAAAAAGCAAAGGAAATTCATTCTGGCCACACCTTCAGCTCCCCAGTTTATTTCTCTTTGCTTTTTAAGATGCCTTTCCTTTCGCCGTTTACCTCTAACTGGAGAAAAGATCATTCTTCTAAAGTAAACAGTTCCCTAATATCAGCAGCGACTATGTTCTTTGTTCTACATGTGTGAATGAAAATGAACAATAGTAAATGCATCTATATGTTGTTCTTAACGCAGCTTAACACTTTCTGGTCTAGGCATGTTTTGATTAACCTCAATTTAATTATTTAGATGAAAATTGGTGGGTTTCACTATCTTTATGGTCTTTCTAAAATTCATCCTCCTGGCAAGTAGAAAGTCTTCAAATTGTAAAAATTCAGACCTTATACCTAGAAAAGGGCCTAAAAGAACATAGTGGGGCACTTCCTTGATCTTACATGTGGAAAAAAAAAAAAAAAAAAGAAACAACCCAGAAAGCATAACATGACAATTATGTCGTAAGACTTATCAAAGACTACGAATAGATTTGTAGACTATTTAATATGGAAATTCTAAACATACAGAAAAGTAGAAGAGTAGGATGAATACCCATATATCCTATGACATAAAGACAACAGCTTACATTTTGCTACATTTGCTTATAGATTAAATAGCGAGATGCTAGATAACAGTTTTTAAAGTAAATTACAGATGGCATGATACTTCATCCCTAAAAACTTCAGCCACCTTCTGCCAAAAATAAAGGCGTTCTCTTGGTTATATAAAATATAACAAAAATAAAATATAAAATACAAGCAATATTTTAGTGCGGTATTACAGAATGTGAACACCAACAGCTTTTCACCACTTGAAGACTGATTCTAAGATAAATGTAATCTCTATGTAATTTTTAAATGTTTAAGGTAGAATTAATAGTCTGTTAATAATCAACTAAGAAATGAAACATCATTCTAGGGGTTAAATGTTTATTATATGTTTCAAAAGAAAAGTAATTCTTTTTTTGCCACCAGGGTTCTTTTGCTAATGATCAATTACATAATAGTTGCCCAAGTCCTATCGCTAAGATGATTATAGGTGAAAAGGTTAATGACCTGTAGGAAACAAAGAAAGTACAAAGACTACGTTTAGTGGAAACCTTGTCTATTGTACTGTTCTGAAAGAAATCATGGATTATAAGCTACCTAGAATACATTATGCTTGGCTCTGCAGTAAATTAAAGTCAGTTTGTTTTTTTTTTAAAGTCAATGCAACTAGCAAAAAGTGATGGTGGTGGTTAAGACTTGGGCGAAAGCAGCAGCATTCCTTGAATACTGGCTGATTTTACCTATGGCATGTAAAAGAACAAAAAGCTGTAAAAGCAAAGTAAGCACTGTGTAATGAAGAATAGAACACATACATCAGCATCAAACATTCTCAGATCAGGTAGGCTAATGAAAACAGTCAGAAATGTAGACTACAGTTGTGATCATGTGAAATATCATTTACTATGTCCAAGCAGTAGATCCGATTGCAGATAAGGCATCTATCTGATTAACTAATGTCCTAGTTTTCCTTAATTTTATATCTGAACAGATCAAAGCTCAAAATGACCAAATTGTACAGTCAATCAGTAGACTGAGTTGTCAGCTACTCAGTTTTTTGCATATGTGTGTGCGAGAATATTCTATATTTAGGTAGTCACTCAATTTAAGAAACAGTGGCAGGACGATGGGGCAGTCAGCTTCCCTGTGATAAAGAAGGATGATTCTTCAGTCCATTGTTTGAATTTTCAGGAGTTTCATCACCTCAAATGCAACATGTAGTAAGCATTAAAAATAATTCATCACAAGATAAACGCAGGGATAGCTCCAAACAGTATAGCATATTAAATAATTAAAATTAATGTTAGCAAATAAAAGCCTCCTAAACCCATCCTCATTATTTTAAGAACTGGGGACACAGACTATACGATGTATAAACAAAAAACTATTTAGCAATGCACTCTATTTAACAATGCACATTCATTTTTATTTTCCATCTGTGTTCAATTTGTGTGTGTGTGTGTGTGTGTGTGTGTGTGTGTGTGTGTGTTACTGGTTACATTAGTATTGAAGGAGGTCTAATCATAAATAGACTCCAGAAAGGAAATAAAACAATAGTCGTTTATCCCTCCATTTTCTCAATTATATTAAAATGCTTCTTTGCCTTAGTTATGGTTCAACAATTTCTACAATACCATTTGTAACTTGACTATGACCTTTGTTTTATTCAGTAACTGTTTGGACCCCAAGTATAAGCAGAGCACTGTGAGGAATATACTGAAATGAAAGACTTGGCTTTTCTTCTGCAGAAATTTACACTTTACTTGGTGAGGGGGAGACTAACAAGCTGCATGTGATGGTAAATGGAGCAACTGGTTTTCTGTGTGATTTGTAGCCTGGCTCTGCAGGACTGGAATCTAACTCTGCATCGCATTGATCCAACAAATGAATCAATGGGGTTTATAGTTATTTGATTTTCAACAAAGGCGCCAAAATAATCAGACTGGGAACGGAAAGTCTTTCTAACAAACGGTGCTAAACAATCGAGAAACACTGAGCTTTGACCCCTACTTAACACTATACACGAAAATTATTTTGCTATGCATCACACACATAAACATAAAAGCCAAAATTATAAAGCTTTTAGAAAAAAAAAGTAGAATATCTTTGCAACTTGCAAGTAGGTGAAGGTTTCTTTTATCATGACCCAGATTGGCAATGACGATATCAATGACCATAAAGTTACTAAATGATCAATTCAACTCTAAGTTTAAAACTTTTATTCGTTAAAAGATGCCATTGAGAAACTAAATGGGCAAGCCAGACTGAGAGAATATATTCGGAAAATATATCCGAAAAAGGATTGGGATCTAGGAAATATGAAGAACTCCTATAACTCAAAAATAAAAGCAAATAAAAAGTTAGCAAAAGATTTGAACAAATACCTCAGAAAGATAGATACATGGCCAATTAGCACATGAAAATCTTACTTGAAATTACACAAAAAGCTGCCTAATTAGTTGTCTTGAAAATGGAAAAAATTAAAATCACAGTAAAGTACCACTTCATAAATACCAGAATGGCTAAAATCGAAAAGACCAAAAATATTAGATGTTGACCAAAATGTGAAACCACTAGAATTCTTGTTTCAATTGTTGAGACATAAACTAGTACAAACGCTTTGGAGGTAGGTCTTGCTGTTTCTTATAAAACTAAACATATCCCAGTAAGTTACACTAGAACCCAGCAAATTCCATGCTTGTTTACCTAGTAGAAATTAAAATACATGTCCATAGAAAAAAGCTAGAATAATATTCATAGCAGCTTTACTCACTGTAGACCCAAATGGGAAACGATTCAGGTGTTTATTAACAGAAAGATGACTACACGAACCGCGATTGTATTTGTGCAAACAACAGGATACCTACTATTCAGCAATGAAAAGGAACCAACTACTAATACAGAAAACAACATGGATAAATCTCAAAAGTATTTTATGATGAGTGAAAGAAGCCTTTCACAAAGATGAACTGTATGCCTAGGACAGGCAAAACCAATCTATGGTAGAAAAGGCGTGGCGGTTGCCTCTAGGGCTAGGGGGTAAGCTTTGATCAGGAATGGGGATGGGGGAATTTTCCCAGGTGCGAGTAATGTTTTCTATCTTGAGAGGGTTTTGGGTTACACAGGTGTGTGCATTTTGGGGAATCATTGAATGGTGCTCTGAAGAGTTTTGTGCATTGTATTGGATACAAATTTTGCTTCACAAGAAGAGAAACTGTAAACAAACATGTCACGCTCGTTAATGATGCGTATATTGAAGGGTTTGTGGGAAAGTGTTCATTGATTTCTGCAACTTTGAAAAAGTAAAAAGTGGATAAAGAGAAGAATAAATGTGAGAAAACATACAGTGAGAGGCAAATTGTAGAGTCTAGATGGATTTGATACCCAAATTCTTCCAACTTTTCTGTATGTTTGGAAGTTTTTATAACGAAATGTGGGGAGAAAAGGTCTGCTGCTTGCCCATGCCACAGGTCGCTAATCTCCTGGACAGGTCACTTTATTCGCTGTCCGTCTCCAAAACTTGAAGGTTGAACCTGATGCTCTCTCATGCCCATTCCAGACCTGACATTCTATGGATGGAAATGAGTTGGAAGAGCCCCTAAGCCCAGGGCCTACAATCAGTAATTTAACCTAATCATTTGCTGCAGATCCTTGCTTAACACTCAGCTTTTTGTGTAATGGTTAAGATGATTTCCCAACTCAGAGTCAAGACATAGAAACCAGTTTTCACCTGAAAATGAAAACAGGGGATTTGTTTTAAGCAGACGCTTTATGCAAAGATAGCTCGCCAGGATATCCATGACTACAATTCCCATCAGGCCTCACCTGGGCCTAACCCAGGAAGCAGAGGCTGTTGAGAGGCCACGAGCACTCCGCCCCCATCTCTTGCCGTTGCTTCTTCTGGGCATGGCTGCTTCGTTCTTCCTCAGCAACCAGAAATACATGGTTAGTGGAAAATGATAGCCAAAGGCTACCAAGTTCATCTGTGACAGTGCCAGCTACACTGTAAGTATCTGTCATTCTTAGTACCCATCCCAAATCTTCAAAGGAGATTTCATTTACGGAGCTTGGTCTAACTCAGTATAGCCAGAGGGCAGGGCCGTGGATATAAATTCAGCACTCCTGTGGGTAGCAGGGAAGGGTGTTGGTGTTTGTGAGCTTTGCAGACATCCCTAAAAGCGTCTGCTTTTGTCTGGATCATCATTAGCAAGAACGTTCATTTCCAACCAGCGTAATCAGGAGTCCAGTTAGATCATCCACAGAGCAGGACCCCAGTCTGGCATTCTGGAAACAGACCCTACCTGGTTTGGGGCTACCTCCTTCCAAACCGTGAAGGAAATACCATGCCTAAATTGGGATCTGGAGAGGGTAACAATGAAGGGAGACAGGTTTATATTATATCCCTCAACACCAATGGTCTTCAAAGATCTGCCTGGTTCTGGACACTATGGCTCTATTTTAGTTTGTGGAAGAACCACTCAGGGAGCTTGCTAAAAATGTACCTTCCCCTCCCCTGCACCCAGGGATTCTGATGCAGTAGGGCTAGGATCAGGCGCAGGAAGCTGCATTTGTCCTAAGTGCACCAGGTGATTCTGAGGCTTCTGGTCCTTGGCTGAACAGTCCATGGGTAACTCCATGTTAAGAATAATCACCCTGCCTCTCTCAGAGTTCACTTCATAAGGAGATCCCTAGAACCAAATTGTCTTTGGGACTTTGGGGTATGTACTGAGAATAATGACAGTAGAGTGACAAACAGAGAGGCAGATATTTGGGGACCCGGAAAAAAAAATCTCATATTTCCCAGATGGCTTCTGGCAGTGGCATCTCAGAAGGTGGAACCCGGTGTCTGGCTCTGAGCACGGGTCATGTTATATGGAAATTTTTGGTGCTGCGAAGAAGTAGCACTTGAATATAAATTTTCTCAACAAGGCAATTTATTTCTGTAGAAAGGTGCAGCTCACAGATGGAGCAATGGTGAGTGAACACATGAGCAGGGGAAGGAAAGGGGTTCTTGTCCTTGATACATGTAGCGTTTACTGCTGTGTTGTTCTTCTATTGGCTGGAGTTAGACTACACAGTCTACGCTAATTCTGATTGGCTATTTTAAAGGGAGCAGGAGTATTAGCCAGAGTGGTGGGGTGAGCAGCTTGGTGGGAAGGATAGTTAGAGAACAGGTAACTAAAGGTGACTTAGAGCAGGTAACTAGGGGTGACTTAGGTCAAAGCAGGTGATCAGGGTGAGTCAGGACAGAACAGATAATGAGGGGAAAAGATGTGAACTACTGACTAGAACTGGTGGAGAAGGTTGTTTACTGAAATTACAGGGAAGTTCAACTTTAAAATGGAGAACAAAGAACTGAACATACTGATTCTTTGAAGAGAGATTTGGAGCTCATTGTATCCAACAGGTGGAAATGTCCTTAGCTCTCTGTATCTTTCTGATCCTTTTTTCTTTAACTTTTAGGATGGAAAGAGATGCTGCATTTACACAGAAAAAGGCAGAGAGGGCATGCCTCAGAGTTCATCTCAGAGAAAAATATAGACTCCCAAAGGTAAGACACTCTGAGCACAGCAAACATTGAATCATTTCTTAATTAATAAAAAGTGGGAAGTCATGCTTAATTATCTGCAAAGGATATATATATGGATACACACACACATTTATCCTAATTGTAACTGAGATGTTTGATATAGTGAAAAGAGCACTGAACTAGGAGTTCATAAAAACTTGATTCCAGTTTTTAACTTAATCTCTATGAACTACCACTGTTGCTAAAAAAAAAAAAAAAAAATGGAATGAATACCTATAGATGACCTTTTAATGTAAATGTTCCTAAAGATTCTAGAACTTCTCTATGTAAATACACAGTGGGAACAATAATTATAGCTGACATTGGTTGAGCTCTTTCGAGGTACCAGGCACTGTGCTTTGCCTGGTACAGGCAAGATCCTGGGCTAAATGACTCCACCTTCACCTTCTGGGTTGGTTATTCAGCTTCATAGTCCAAAGATACATCATCCCTTAAAGAACATCTTCCATCTGGAGAAGCAAAGGAGAAGATCTCTCCAAGGGCATGATCCCATCTATGAGAGCCACCTCCAAGTCCAGGTGGTTTAGAAAATGCTGCTAAACCAATTCCTTCCATGGATCCCCAGCAGATCCCAGAAAAGGCTGATTTTAGAAACCAAAAGCACTAAACAAGGGAGAGTCCACTGTCTCTGCAAAGTCACTGATGAAATCACCAAAGACTTCAACATGGGAAACATGGATCCCTAAGGTGCCCAAGGAAGCTGGGTTCTGTTTTTTTCTAAGGGAAGGAAACCCCATACTAAAATGTAAGCTCATTTCATTCACAAGCAATGAAACTTGCAAAAGAATGGCTTGCTTTTCCTATTCCACCCGCAATTCAGGTTTAATAACTTTTCCTCAGTGGGCTTGCATTTTGGAAGAGTGAAGGACTTCTAAACACCGTCCTTGCCACTTTCATTGTCTGGTGAATTTCCTGAAACTCCCTGGATGTCACTGGCTCTCTTTAGCAATGTGGCCTCCTGCTAGGCGGGAAACTTGAGTCAGATTCTTGCTGCTGCACTAAAGTCCCTGGCCTCTGCTCTTGGGTCCATCTGATTAAAGCACCACCAATCTGGTTGGGATGAAGCAAAAATTTCACACACACACACACACGCACGCATGCACACGCACACACACACATGCACACACACACAATGATCGGCTGGGTGTGCATCATCCATAATGCTGGGGCTTCTAAAGATTTATTTTTGACAACTGTTATTCTTCTGTAGGGATCTAGAGAGAATTGGGGTTCAGTTGTGGCGCCGTGATGCAATATCATATGCTTTTTAAAAAGTATTTAACTCTCTTAATTTGTGCAGCAGCAATAAAGAAAAAAGTCTGAGCCTCAGTATCCTTATCTATAAAATGAGAGCTATAGCTGCTAACTTCATAAGATCCTTGTCTGAGATAATATAATACAAAGAACCTAGTACAGTGCCTGACAGTAGAGCTCTTATTATTGACATTTTGATCTCTGGGCACAAAAGTCTGACTTCCTGATAATAAGAACCAGGGGTCTTGAGGACTGCCAGTCCTTAGATGTGTAATCAATGCAGCAACTGGAGGTTCCTGAGCCTCAAGGCACTGAACCTTTGATCTTTGTCTCCACTAATGGTGAATCAGCAGAGTTGCTTCCGGAGCCTCAGGGGTGGACACCCTTAGGCTTAGCAGTAAGGTTTAAGTGGTCTTCTGAGAAAAATAATTCTCAAATCTCTGTGCCAGGCTATCCTTTGAAGCAAGAGCCTTTCCGACAGAAACTATGGAAAGAGGAAGGAATTATAGCCATGAAATGCACAAATCAGGATCCTCCCTAGAGAATGATTGTGACTATACCTGAATAGGCTACCGCTCCCTAACCCAGCTAGCGGGAGGGGCAGACATGAAGGATGTTGATAAATTAACAGTAGAGCCCACCAGCATCTTTCAGTTCATGGCTTACCGATGTTCATATACCCCCTTTTCTATAGCTGTTTTAAATGCATAATGCATTTGAGACCTCACTTGATTTCTTCCATAGACCGTGAAAGAGACCGTAAAGCTCATCTCAGAATCTCATACCACTGCCTTGTTTTACATCTAGGAAGCTGCAGCCCAGCAGAGTTAAGCTGCTTTGCAATAAGCCTCATGTCCTAGGACAATCAGGATTGGAACTCAGGCCCCACAACCATGAGGAAGAGCAATTGGTTAACAAAACGACTTGCACAGAGTTCCCCTCTCCTCAAGGCATTTGTTCTTTTTTTTTTTTTTCCTATATGGCATTAGAAACTTTTTATTGAGACAAGGTAAAGAGTGGGCTGAAAATATTACAGGGTGAAGGAAGGCCAAAGAAACCAGGATGAAGGCAGCTCAAATGATGAACTAAATACATTCCAAAGGTACTATTTACACTGAGGGCAATTGTAAAAGTGAAGTCTTAACCAAAAGCGCTTTACATGGCATTCAAAAAAAAAAAAGAGGGGGTCATTTACATCTTTTGGATTGACTAAAAGAGCTAAATTATGCACCCCAAATCTGTACTGCAGGGGCCTTTTTTCAGCAGGTAAGCCTATGTACAAGTAAGAATCTCTTACTCTGTAACATTGTCCTGCTTTGTTTTACGAGAATACATAATTCTTATCCCTACAGAGTTAGTCCATAAGGCCTCAGTGACCTCATAGAAATATGGACCTACCTCTAGTAGAGGGCTGTTTGCACTGCGCTGTAAATACTCATATGTGTGTCCACCCCCACAACTGAGCTGTCGATGCCTTGAGTTAAGGGGTGATGGCTCATTCATTTTGTATTTACAGTGACAATTAATAGGCACTCAATACTTTCTTTGCATGAATGATAAATGAAACGCTTTGACACTACCACGGCTATTTGCATTAACATTCCCACCATTAGCCGCCTCCAGAATAAAAACACCAAATTGCTGCCCCGTTTCCGCAGTTTTCACAATACGGTGCTTCCTGACTTTTTAATGTAAACGAACACGCTTAATTTACCAGTTTTCAAAGTAATGACACAAACTTAGCATTCTTCTTGGAAGGGAAAACTCGCTGGGAAGTTACTTTATTCTTTTTCTCTTTTTCAAAAGTGTATCTCGCAGCACCAACTTTTTCTCGGAAGGAAAGCTTGCTTTTTAACTGGACGTGGCTATACCGCATCCTCATAAAGCTCTTCTGCTTTTTCTTCTCTTTATTTGTTGAACTGGAAAATGGATTCATTTTGGTTTTCTTCCTCACAAATTCTTTTCGATCTGTCTTTCCAGTTATTGCAGTTGGTAGTCTTGTCTCTTTGTCAGACTTCGGCTTTTAATGAAGGCGTTCAGTGTCCCAAAGAGAAAGTAATTTGCCCCTGGGCTCTTCATCACTGTCTATTTCAATATATTTCCTCTTCTGGAATTTCCCAGGGCCGGTGTCAAGTTCTTTTCTCATTTGGGCCATGCGGATTTTCTGGAAGTCTTCCTGAGTTAAAGCTCGACTGGTGTTGATGGCTGTAGCTCTGCCCTTCTGCTCCTCCGTGGACATGCTGTCCAGCTTCTTGGAAATTTCTTGCTGTTCTTCATCAGAAGAGTGTTGCACATCAACCATTTGCCATCGGCATCCTCCTCCTCATGGAGACTGGTACGTCCCCATCCATCTTCATCATCTCCAGCATTCTCTTCTTTCTCAACTTCCAGAACTTCTGCTCCTGGAATATAATCTTTAGCATCCGCTTCTCCATATTCTTGTACTCTTGCTTCTATGGAGGCCTTGTAGGCTTACCCCGGAATTTCTTCTGAAGCATCTGAGGATTCAGTGTTCGGAAGAGCTGAATCAAACTTCTAGCAGACATCATTACATTCTTATCCTTACGTGTTTTATACTGAGCCAGGTCTTAGAGAAGTCCTTTAGTCATGGCGAGAGGATACTGAGTTGTTATCTGTTTTATAGCATCGATTCCTATTGTCATGACTTCTCCAGAGTTCTTGGTCACAAAATTGTTGGCCACGGTCATAAGCAATGATTGAATAATCTCTGGGGTGATGAGAGGCTTGTACAGCAAACGGAAGGATCTTTGCTACTTCTCTTTGGCAGGGCTGCAGAAACCTTTGCAGAAAGGGAGAGAAATTGAAGGGGAAGAGCTCTTGAATTCCCACCAATCAGGAGATGAGGTTCACAAGCATCTTCACTTCAAACCTCTCCTTGCAGCAGCACTCAAGCTGCTTTAGTTTTTCTGCAAAATCTTGGTGATCATGAATCAAGTGAATGGCTGAAAAGTTAAACACCTCTGGTTTTTTTCTTCTTCTTTTGTTTCTTGAGCACTTTCATTGCCTTTTCCAACTTTTTCTTGTTTTTGGAACTTTTCTTCCCTGTAGCATATTGTACTAGCAGGTTTCCTGCTGTTGATCTGTCATCCTCAGATTCGGAGTCACTATTCTGTTTTCATCTTCATCTTTCCCAAGAAAGAATGTCAAAGCAGCAGCTAATATCTTGGTGACCTTAGCGAAACATGCAGTTGTGATAACACTGACAGTTTTGGCATCATTCCAGATGTTCCTCTGTAGCGTTCAATCATCACATCTGGAGACATCTTGGCTACAGTTGCATTGCTATCTCTTAATACGGTGTACATGAAATTTTGTAATACTGCATTCACTTTATTGTTCTTGTGTTCTGCTTTATATTCTTGATGTCAGTCGCGTTATGTGTGTATAAAGTCTTTCGCAGAAGCTTATGGCAGAGTAGAAGTTCAAAGAAAAGCTCAAGTGGGCTTGATGGAGTGATGAGATTCTTATTTTTCAGCAAGATCAAAACTCTCCAAAATGTCATTCGAAGATCTGGATCCAATATGGTATGATGGCAAGAGAGAAGATCTTGCATTTCTTGAGGAAAATTACTTAGATACTCTGGGTAGCAGTGACTCATCTGTGCCATAAATATCACAAGCTCTGCTAGTTCTTTGCTGGGTTTATCTGGCTGCATTTTGAAAATCTCCACATTGGATTTGTAGTGA